ATGCAGCTGCTGCGGAAAGTTAGTTTTGATCGTTTCGACTTAGAAATAAGGGAGACATGATGGTACCAGAAGCTGGCCACGCCTAATGCGTCAATCGCATCAGCCGCTGGCGGGGGAGTAAATCAAGCTTTTGCCCGTGATGTATATAACTCGGAGTAGTAGCGAGTAAGAAATTGGGTTACAAATATCAGAAGTCACGCTTCCAAAAGAATGCGCCAGAGGTGTATAACAAAAAGGTGTGCAGCTAAAAGAATAACCGCATAGATAAGACGGCAGAGCGTGGTGCCAGGGACGTGCCAGGGACGGACGGTGGGATGAGTTAAGATAGAGGAGAAGAACGGACGAGAGAAGCGATGTCACGTGTTTTTGTTTGTAAATTCGTGGTTGCTGTGACAACGGCGCTAGTGCGGCTGACTAACAAGCGCTTTGTTCCTGTAGCGGCCCCACCTCGGGGGGTTGCCACAGCGATCGCCTCGCCTGTCCCTGCTAACTAATGACAATTCTGACGTCATCTTGGCGCGATCAGGATTCCAACTGCCGGCGCGATGTGGGATGGAACCATGGTAGCGGTAGTTAACTATTTATTATTATTGGACGTTTCAGGCTCAGAGCCGGAGCCAGCCGCCCTGAGTAATGTTCTTTTGAACTGATTGATCTGTTGCGATGGACATATCATATGTAGTTAACTATCAAACCAAAAACCTCCTCTCTCCCCTTAATCCCCGGCCAATAATCAATCAACACCTGCCTGCACCGCCCACACGGACTCATAACCAGCTCCGCGCACGGCCCGCCCGTGAAGTGGAGACGTTGTCGCCGGCGCTGACGACGGCGTGGTCGTCTTGGGGTGGGAGGAGGGCTAGGAGGGCGTTGGCGGCGATGAGGGGGGGGGTTGGGGGGCCATTTTCGTCTTTGTATTTTTTTTTTTTTGTTTCTGTTTTCCTTTATTTATGTCTCTGATGGGAGGGCGGAGTGGTTATGTGGTTGGTGGTTTTGTTCCGTGCTGCCTTTAGATGTTCAGAGACCGCAGGGCTGAAGCCTGGGTGCAGGGGGGAGTCAGTCTCTGTATCGAGCAGTAACTAAATAGCAACTCACGCGTAGCGTATACCGAATATTTCTTATGCAACATCAATGATTGTAAGAAGTTAACTGTAAACAGCTATCTATGAAATAACCTCACTATGAGAATAAATAATTCTTAATTGGGGTTTTCCTTAAGCGCGTGTACATGTACTAACTACTCAGAAACACATAGATACAACATATACAAAGTATCGTACCCATCAAAAAAAAAAAAAAAAAAAAAAAAAAAAAAAAAAAAAACTATACTAACCCTGTATATTACTTCCCTATTGCTGGTATCATGATAATGAACATAAAACATATGTTAAGCAGTAAGCAATAAGCCATAACAACAATTAAGGCAACAGAGTGAGTTGAGAATGAAAGCACTAACATACAACAAAATAATTATGATGTAAGATGATGTTATAAAATAGAAGGAAAGGGAAGGAGGGAAGGGAGGGAAAACATGCCATTGACTCCAAATATAGTTCAAAAAAAAAAGGAAAAAAAAAAAAGAAAAAAAAAGGGGGGGGGGAATACCACAGGGGTGGGAATGATAGTAGGTAACTACGATTTAGCAAGCAACAAAACAAAAGGGGGATTGGAATTCTCATTCCCCACTGTGATGAAATGAGAGACTGACTGCATTATCTCATTCACCCCAGGTACTTCCAGCTGCCCACTTCCACCATGTTGTGTGTTCAATTTAAGGTATGCCAAAGTTCGACTAATTCCAATCTGATTGAAAGAAACTTTTCAGATTTCTTGTCACCTTGGGAACAACTTTTACAAATTTCCACCAATTTCTTTATTTTTTCCCACCTTCTTTTTTCCGGGAAATGTCGACTTTCAATTTCTTCCTGCGGTTTTTGGGGTAAATTTTATTCCCTTGCTGTGTCGAACTGAACTGTTCACTCACAGCATCCTCCTCCTCGTCAACATGACAGCCACTTGTACGATCAGAATAGAAAGTCGGAGGGGAGTCGCGGAGCCTATGTATATACCCCCTCGTTTCAAATATCAATGTTTTCGAAGTTATGCAAATAAAGGGATCGTCGAGTCACAAAACCATTCCGCGTGTTTGATTGGAGATAGGAGAGAAGGACAAAGGAAATGTTAAAACATGTCGATACCATCACGTTCGTAGAACAACAGAAAACCCAATTCTCTCGGGTTCATGTGTTGCAAGGGTGGTCATACCACATTCTTACTCCTCGCTGAGCAATGGCTGGCGTTCGCGATCAGTGGACTCGGCCGGCTCCGCGACGCTTCGGAAGAAGAAGTTTCTGTTGTGGTATTTGGCAACAGAGGTGGAGAGGGAGGAGGTGAAGAAAACTCCGAAGATCACGAAGGCGAAGATCCACTGAAGTGAGATGATCTTGAGCGAGAACTGCTTTAGAGCGAGGGCTGCAGATGGATTTTATCGTTAGCGCCTGAGAAGAGAGAGTAGGTATAAAATCGGAAAGTACTAAAACTTACACAGCGTCAATAAGCTCAAGGAGTATCCATAAGCAAAATCTGCCCTTCGAGCAATGTGGCCCTGGCCAAAGACGAACATGACCCAGATGAAGATATTAGCAACGACCCTCTTAGCGGTATTGTCTCCTCCAACCGCAACAGCTCCGTTCCAGAAGAGCGTCGATAGAGTCCACGCATACGGGCCAGCCACTGCGGGAAGGTGGATATCCAGGGGCAGATCTTGATGTTTCCAATAGACAATGCCCTGACTGATCAAGTTTGCAATGTCAATGATCTCCGCACCCCAGAACATGGACCTAACCCAGAGAAGGATGAAAGCGAGGACGAATAGATTGTTGAGGATATAAAAGCCGGCGACATTCGCGGCAGTTGTTACTTTTGCGGGGTTTGAGGAGAAGAGGTTGGCGATGTATCCAAGCTGGGACAGTAGTAGGATAATCCTGCAAGCTGTTAGTTCGTGACTCTCTCTGGAGGGAATTGCATCAGTTAGGTATATTGTTTAGATGGCCACAAAACTCACCAGAAAATCCCCGTCACGACGGTACTCTGCGAGAAGGGGGTGGGGTTTCGGTGTGTCTGTTCCCACACGGTGAAGCCGTTGGGTACATCGCCTGGCCTGCGGACGGAATAGAAGATGCCAAAGACGACCACCAACAACCAAGAGATGGGAGTCAGGACACGATATGCGGTAATGGCATTATTGCTGAATGTCTCCCGCTTCGCAAACGGATTGTCTAATGTTGATAATAGTGTATATTAGTAGAGTAATATTAAAGCCTTTCTTATTTAGGGGGGGATAGGGTTAGGGGGGTTGATCCACACATTCATGTACTCCCTTCTTTTTTTTTCTGGAGGGAGGTTTTTGATAAAGGAATTTTCAGCCTTCAGGGGGGGGGGGGGGGGCTGTTTTCAAACGGATTAGTGATACGTGAAATTTCGAAGCAACCAAAGGACCTAAAAAGATAAAAGGGAATTACAAAGCCTCTGCTATAGAGAGATACAGGGAGATGGAGAGAGATAGAGAGAAGGACGTTGTTTTGGTTGAGCCGGGGGTGGCAAGCTACCTTAGAGATGACGCAAGAGGGGAGTTGATAGTTGATATCAGTACAGTAACTACTTGTAGTTATGTAGTAGAACTACTTGCGATAACGAACCAGCTCAGACCAACCATGCAGAAACACAGCCAGTTAGACGATAGAGGAGAAGATCACGAGAAGAGGAGATGGCATTTGAAGATGAAGAAAGATGAAGATCGACGAGAAGAAGAGAAAAAGAGAAATGAGACGCCAGGACGCCAGGACGCCAGACTGCTGCCTCTTTCTTTTTTAACTACGCAGCGTAGCTCAAGTAGTTAGTTAACCCTCGGCTGCAAGGAAAGAAAGAACCCTCCCGGTTGTTTGTAGCAGTGACTTCGTCTCTACCTCGATAATCACGGTACAGAGTAACGTACGGAGTACAAGCCTGGGAATAAACCGCAGCTCTTGCACAATGCCAGCTTAGCCCATCTTTAGACTCCCTCTACAAACCCTCTACAAACCCTTCTACAAACCCTCCCAACGAATCAACAACGGACGATGGACATCACCCAACCCTCCTATCCCCCCCCCCCGCCCAATCTCTGCCAATCACCATCATCATGGCGCACGGGATGGGTTCCACCAAACGCCCGCGCGCAGTGTGGACAAACCACCCCCGCATTATCTCCTTCTCCTGCATACCCATACTGCGTAATAACAGTACATTAATAATAATAATTCATCCCAAGCAACCAAGCACCAAAGCATCAACAACCCCCCAAGGACACCGTGACCATCATCCGGCCTTCTCGTTGGCTACGCAAACAACTTGAAACTTAAAAAAGAAGCGAGGAAAACACACCGGCATCCTTGGCATCTTATTAACTATTTATTACGCTGTGGCTAGTTTATCCGAAGAATCCCCCTTCTTATTGAATTCAAAACGAACACAAACGCGATGGTTTTTGATGCGCCCCGTGCCTACTCTTGTTAGTAACGCTACGGAGTAACTAGTTACTAGTTAATAAGTTACTACATACTTAACTAGTTACTGCGTTACCTAGGGCGGGCGGGGAAATCAACTGCCAAGGATCAGTTCGTTATGAGAGAAGGTTTGTGATACGGGAAGGGTCTCGTTCATCCTCAACCCCCCCCCCCCCCCCCGGGTTCTTTCCATAATAATAGAGTCATTCAGTATCATGTCCCTGTCCCCGGGTCCCGTTTCAAACGAAAGAAAAAAAGGTCATGGGCCGCTAACGCGAAAAAATTTTAGGAAAATCAACGGGGGGGAGGGAGGGGAAGGGGAACCTGTAAGGGAAATGGGCCCTACCCCGAAAAATCCTCCGAAGGGATGGGATGGGAGAGGATATTGAAACTACACACGGTACATGTAGTTACTGTACGGGTAACCCGTTCCATTCAGAGTTTATTTTTATTTTTATTTTTATTTTATTTTATTTTATTTTATTTTTGGAGCTTTCTTCTTCCTTTCTGGTGCAAGGAGGAACAAGTATGTTGTATGTACTTCCGTATGTATGTATGTATGTCTCAGCTAAGCCGTTGGGAGGGAGGGGTCTCGTGGACAGGGCTGGGAGCAGGGAACGGGGAAACAGGCGCTTGGTGAGAGTTGGGTTAGTTAAAGCCGGGAGGGGGGGGGATTACGATATCTCAATTATCAGTCCTCCAGGGCAGACGGCAATGATAGAGCGTAGAAAAGAGATCAACAAACAGATTCCAGGTTCATGCCTGTCCAGCTTATTCCAAGAACTCATACATGCAAATCTGATCGTCCGTATCAAAGTTATCTTAGTTCCTATGAGAACATCAGCTCCCTTCCTTGCCATCATTGGTTCCTTTGAATAAGTTAACTAGAGGATCTCCCTTTGTTCCAGCAGTGATCATCATGCCCATCCAACACACTGCACTGCGGGGGAAAAGGGGCCAAAAAATATAAAAGGGGTAATGGAACTCAGATAGATCTACATTCCTCCATACGGAGTTACAAGGGACAGAGTCTAGATAGTTATCCTCTGTGGTAATATGAATATACCCATCTCACCCCTGTCCCGTCCCCTCCCCTTCCCATACAAGGGCCGGAGCGGGAAAATTCTTGAGAAAAGAAAAGAAAAAAAGGTTATTTTAACTCATTCTATTCATCGTCTATCAATCTATCCCTCAAGGAAGAAGAAAAAGAAGAGTAGTAGAAGGAAGATGTAGTCGAAAACTGAGGGCCAGGGTATGCAAGACAACAAGAAGGAACACCAAGAGAGAGAAAAAAAGGCCCAAAGAAAACGAATATGCATAGGGTTGAGCAGATGATTAGGATGTCATTTCGGTTCAGTTTGTTTGTTATGGTCCGGTGCGGCGTGTAGGAACTACATGAAGGGGCATGTCGTATCTGGCGTTTGCGTTTTAGGGATGTATGTATGCGTAGGTGCGGTAAAAGCAGGAGGAGAGTTTGAGTTAGGGGAAGAGTGAGGGCTTTAGGGAGGTAAAGAGTTGAGAGATATGAGGCTGGAGGTAACCCGCCTTCCTGAGGCATTATGTATGCTGTAAGTTTCCCGCCCAGGGGTCCCATTCTGGTATATAAAAAAAAGAAAAAAAAAAAGAAAGAAAGAAAGAATTACGGAAAATGTATCGAAAAACAGTGAGTCGCGTAAAGTTTAACGCGTGTGGCGGTAGTAATGATAATAATGAATGTTCACAAATCTCTATGTATCTCGTATAGGGAGTTAGTCGTGTATCCCAGTATCCAATTCTCTTGCAGCGCCGCTTCTGCTTTCTAAGCGTTTCTATTTACTCTTAAATGTCTGCAAACGCGAGCTCATAGGCTAATCCAAGTGTCATCTTCGCATGTTGTAGCATATGGTTGAAGTCGAGAGTCTCGATTGTATCCTGTCCTGTGTGGATGTGCTGGCTGGAGTGCTCGAATTTAGATTCGATCACAAAGGCGGAAGGGTAGCCGAATCGGCTGGCGGATGCGTGGTCGGAACAGGCGTAGCCGCACTCTGTAAGGACGAAGGGGATGTCGCAGTACTATTGTTTTGACGGAGATGAGGGAGTTAGCTGACAACAGTCTTAAATATACATTTACATATGTATGTACGGCAAGTATGCCTGGGAAGCAACTTACCCCGTTGACAACCTTCTTAATAAATTCAGTCAGCCCTTCATCAACAAAGTCGGTAATAACACCAACAGACTCCAGCTCTCCAGCGTCCAGTGTCCCCTTTGAATACCCAGTCATGTCCTGCTGAAGCATGGCCCTGATATCTTTGTTATCCTGCTTATATTTTGAGAAGACAGCTTGAGATCCCAACAAGCCACCTTCTTCTGCAGAGTACCAGTGGAATTCAACTGTGTTTGTTGCATTGCCCTGTGCAATGGCTTCCGATTGAAGTAGGACACGGAATGCCTCAAGAATAGTCACTGTCCCACTGCCATCATCGTCGGCACCAGGTGCGGCTAGAATCGATGGCAGGAACATGTTAATGCTGTCCTGATGTGCACCGATTACAACAGTTTTGTTACTCTGGCCAGGGACAGTCGCGATGACACTGAACTGGCCCCAGGGATGTTCAAATTTCTCAACTCTCGCGTTAGATGCTGGGGAGCTGCTGATGGTCTTCTGGATTTGCTTCATCAACCAGGTCGCGGACTGGATACCAGTCTCAGATTTATAGTATCTTGTATGGAAAGAGGTGAACGTGGTTAAATGACTGAACATATTATCCTTGGACAATTGGGCGGCTAGAGGCATGACCTCGACCGTTCGGTGAAGACCCGTGGGGAATGTAACGGCGGTTTTTGCGAAGGCTCTCGGGAATAAATTCTGTTCAACCTCCGCGGTGATGTCGAAAAATTTTCGGCCATCCTATTTGAAAATTAGTAACAAAATACACCGGATGAAAACAAGGGTAAATAGAAGTGATGTAGAAAAACACACCCGTTTCAGTCCCCATTTCTCCTCTTCCGTCACCCATCGAGTATCGCCAGGAGCAAGCTCAATCAAAAACTTCCCAAGGTGAACATCTGCAATAGTGTCGCCTATGGGTTTTTGATCGGGGAGTGCTGCTAAAGCTGTTGTTGAGGCCGCGATACCCAAACTTAGGAAGCTGGGGAACTTCATCGTAGGAGGAGGTCGTTAAGGCAAGCAGCCTTGACGTAATCCTGCAGGCGTTGGAATGAACGTGTGTGTTGGTGAAAATGAACGGGAGATAACGAACGAATCCACAATTAAGGATAGTGAGTAGTGTGGCTTCAGAGAAATAATGTAAGGGATATATAAGTTTATCGACTGGGGGATAGGAAGGTGGATGAGGGCGGGGAGTGTCTTGGAGGAATGGAGGATGCGCGCGAGGTGTGAGCTAAATTTTAAAAGGTCCTTGACTGCGGTTATCGGTTGATCAGCCGCGGGACTGTTGGTCTAGCCGGGACGGGGCAAGCGCTGCCAAGCCGGGGGTCTTCTCCACTACCCTAGGAGCCTCGGAACTCAACCCGACGATGGTCTCGGCATTTTGAGTCGACCAAGAAAGTGAGGTGGAATGACAAGCTGGAGCTTCCAGTCAGTCAGTCACATACCTACTCCTTCATTTGTGGTTGCTGTCGTGCTGCTGGTCATGAATCTCCCATATATCAACCAAGCTTTGAAGGTTATTAGCAATCTTCATTCTGTGTGTGGTGAAATTTGCCAAGCTTGTTCTACCTAGTACATACTGATGAAAATGGTTCTCAGTGTGTATAAGCATTTTGAAGAGAAGAGAAGAGAAACAAGAAAAAGAGAGATAGATATTGTTTGATAAGCCTCTCTCACTGATCAGATGCAAGCAAAAGCTCAAAAAGAAGAAATAAATTTTACTCACAACAGAAACCAGCATAATGATATGAGAAGCAAAAAAAGTTGCAATATAGAACAGGTGATGCAAAACTAGTAGAACTTGGTTAAATAGTATTTGTCTGACTGAGTGTGCATTTGACCTTAAACTAATAATAAAGGATGAAAGAGAAGAAGAAAGACTCTGAAAGAGATCTATTCAGAATACCTGTGATCTGAATATAATGAAACCACAACATCAAAGAAAGTGGCATAAAGCAATTGTCACACTCTAATACTATGAGAAGGAAGAAATTCATGTCATCTAGACATCATAATGTCTATGACAGGCATCTCACAAGCTCCAGAATTCCTTGCTGAATGCAAGTAGATAAAAATGTACAACTTCAATTTATACTGTAGACTGATTGTGATAGTTAAAATTCCAGTATGAAAAAGTAACATCACCTCAGATCTTCTCACTTCTTCTTTCACACCTATGATAGACAGGCATAGTGTGTAGAGCTGTTGTTTGATGAGTTAATAAACTGTGTTTCCCATGTATGTACTCCGTACTGTACCTGTACATGTACTGTTCATGTACTTCCCAAGAATCCCAACAAAGAACTTCCCTGACAAACTAGGGCCTTGCAGCTGTTGTCTACCCATGGAGTCAAGAATTCAAAAGGCTCACTTTTCATTCTTTCAAAGAGTGACTGCAATGAGATGATCATAGGTGGGTTCGTTCTGCGGGTGATTGAACTAAAAATGCCCAGAATCACCTTCGAGTCATAATGATATAGGGATCGTTGGCGAGAGTCATCGAAAATGGAGTTGCGACAATAGCTGGCTGGAGTCATTTTCAGGCCTTTTTCTCCCCTTTCCATCTCTCGAAATGTTATGAAGAGGTAATGTATGTACATACTCCGTACATGTACCACTTAACCTGTCAAGTAGAGCAGTTTGAGAATGGCAATTGGTAGGAATAATACAGAGTACGGAGTACAGACATGATAGATGGAGGCAAGCTGCAAGCTTCGCCCCACACCAGCTGACCAAAGCCAAGTTCCAGCTAAGCCGGGTTTGGCGGATTCTGATGACTCAGCCTCATGACTCAACCCTCGGCTAGGTATGATTGGCCTGGCACTTTCCAACCAATCGCGAGCTTTTGAACACCTTTGTCTTCAACCGCCCTTTAAAAGCCAACTCCAGCAGCATTCCTTTGTCGGGTCCAGCTAGGTCTCGTTTACTGCATCTCAGGGAAAGCCCTGATATAATCTCCAAAGGCCGTCGTTCCCTCTCTTTTCTGATTGTTGGGTCGTCTGCTGTCTTTGCCTTGGAACACTCGACCCTCAGCGACATACATCTGCGCCAGTAGTCATGGCTATCCATCCAACTCTCCATGCTGAAGGGTCCCTGACGCCGCAGCAGGCGCGGGAAATCTCTGTCTGGTCCCAGCAAGCTGTCCAATCCATCCATGTCGACGGGGCCGGTGGGATTCCCACCGCTAGAGTGCCCGGAACTTCAGTCTCGCTGGCAATCCCTCTCGACGACGAGCACCATCCACCCACTAGCTTGCCGTTGCGCGTAAGGACGGCTACCAATGGTGGTGATACCAGCGGCGATGTTGTCTCTTCTGTGACCTATCGTCGCAGGGAACCACTCCGCCGCGATAGCCTGAAAAGACGGGATGCGCTCCTCAAAGGCAAGGAGGGAAGCCGCCGGAGACAACGCTGGGAGAATGGTATGTGCCGAACCCACCTGCTTGCCTAGCTGCATGCATAAACCCACCCACAACACAACACACATTGTTAGGGCTATGCGCCTAAGCAGCATGTAACCGCCCTGAGTGCCAGTGGCGTGAAACATCGAACCCCAAGATTGAACTGTCATGAATGATCCTTTTCCTCACCGCGTCTATTTCACACTATGGTCCATGCAGGTCCTGCACCTTAAACACTGTAACCATCAAAATAAGTGGGACTGACAAGACGACTGTCCACTATTTTTTGGGCACATATCTTCGTTTCTCAGACCGCCTTCTTAATAATCCCTGGGTCCAACTGCCCTCTGCGATCGACTGGCAGGTTCAGCCCACCTACGAGCGGCGTACGGTCCCATATTACCTAGCTCCGCTCTGGGATTCCCACTTCGCGGCTCGGGAGCAGGCTAAAAATAGCAACGGGTCCCGCAAGACCAAGAATAAGGATGGTGGCTCGGATCTCCAATCCCAGATCCCCAAGGAGCTGCGGTTGAGATTGAAACATGCCCGTGCCGCCCGTGGGTTGCTGCGGGATCTCGAGGAGGAGATTCGTCGGTTCGTTGAGAGGTATTACGAGAAGCAGGTTTTGTCGGCGCAGAATGAGGAGGGGGTAGAGCTGGAGGGTGCGCACTCGCTCCTTTCTGACGAGGACAAGTGGGAGAAACTGCAAGACAAGACGGAGACGGAGACTGAGACGGAAAAGAAGTGCGATTCCGACGATGACGAAATTGTCTTCGTCGGTAGAAGGGGCCAGGTGCGCAATGCGTCCACAAATCAACCTGAAGATCAGGGTCGTCTGAGGAAGATGAATCATTCCGATATGGGCCACCTAAATAAGGAGAAAGATGGGGAGAAGATGGTGTTTGAAAGCTTAGAGGAGGATCGTGCTGCTGGATTTGGGTTCGTTCTGGCTGAATACACACATCCCTTACCCCAAACTCTCCCCACCCACATGTTCCTGCCATTCTACCTCACCCTCCTCAACCATTTCCTCCTCCCTTCCCACCCCCCCACCCTACTTCTTTAGGCTAAGCTAATCAATCCCCACCAAAGCCGCTGGCTGGTCCACTCCATCGCCTCCTACTACGGGCTCCGCACCTGGTCCGTTACCGTCGGAAATCCTGCCCGTCGTGAGACGTACGTTGGCATCAATCACCCACCGCCAGCTAAGCAACAGCAGCAGCATCATCGCCGGCATTCCCGATCGTCAACGTTGCCTGGCAATGGCGACACGTCCATGACTCCGGCCAGGGGACATGTTGCAACCGCAGCAAGGGTCAAGCGACAGGGCATACTCCCTCAGCCGCTGTGGGTGGCTGTTGGTGTCTCTTGACTCCCTTGATTCGGAGTTGAGAGATGAGATATGCTTGTAAATTTCGGGAGTTGGTGATTGTTGTGTGCTATGCCTCTTTATCCTAGAACAAAAGAGTTTCATTTCCATTGCTATTCTATTTTTATATTTCCCACAGCTTTTGCGGCTTTTTTTTCGGTCGAGGGGATGAGGAGTAGAGTATCCCCTCGTCTGGCCGCGAGGACACAATTAGCGTATTTTTTAGCGTGTACATTAGCGTATTAAATACACTAAAACTACTGGATAATATGGAGATCAGCTGTATTGGAGTGTTTTAATGTAATTTATGTAATTTATGTAATCTATTTAATCTAGCTCTACTGCGTAATTAATATCATTATTATTAAATAGAGTGTATGAATTCCCAGCTGAAGATGATGATAGCAATTCACTTTTCACTTTACACCTGTTTTTGTACTATTTAATAAAAAAAACAGTCAATCTGATTTAAAAGAAGTATTGAAGAATTGAAAATCATCTGTAGAAGTCATATTTCTCTCTCAGAGTGAGCAGAGTGAGAAGAGAGAAGAATCACATCTGAGATTTCAAGACTGCAGAATGCATACACTGGTGTGACCCTCAATTTTCGTTAGGGCCACCCTAATGAGCGCTTGGAGCGCGTTCTCATCATCATTGTATATAGCATAGACTACGGAGTACAGTACGTAGAAATCATATTAATATCTAGCATCTCTGCTATAAGCTCCTGCAGCTGCTCCACTGTTATAGCATCCCAGATTCCCAGGCAGCTCTAACTACTCCTCAAAGTGCATCATTTTCATAAGTCTAGTCAAGACTGCAAAGGAGAAGGATATCTCAATGGTGATTGTTGGGTTAATAATTGCTTTGAGGGTGTAGCAGGGGGTTCCAGAGCTTCTGGGGCTTCTGGAGGTTGCAATAGAAGGTTCAAGAGCAGCAAGGAGATCCATCTTGATGATAATAGAATGAGTATAGGCACGTACAGGGGAAATAATAAAATAAGAATGAGAAGCTGTATCCTATTTATGATTTATGAGGATAATTGGCCCTAACGAAAATACCGGGGCATACTATACTGTAGTAGAGCAGAAAACATGAGATAGTGAATCTATAAGTTATCAACAAATCAGATTGCATAGAATTGGTATTGCGCTAATTGTGTCCTCACGGCCAGAGATAGATACAGTTCACATGTACTTGTTTTTCATGAAGTGCACAGTACAGCACTGGTTCCTGTTAGATATATGAAGGAGAAAATGTTGTTCTTGTTTTAGATGTCTCTGAAAAGCTTTGACACAACATTAACATGGGTGTCTTTCATAACTCTCAAAACTAGATTGATGATCATCTTGTTATTTTCAGTTTAGGTACTTGATCTGCATTTAACTACTTTCTACCACACTCCATATGTGATGATGAGGAAAATATACTGAGTGTGGATTGGACATTGACATTCACCAGCCTCTCATTATTTTTGTGGTTGAAGCACTAATAACTAAATAAAACAGCAATGTCGCCAGGGGTACTCCGTAGAGTCAGTCACAACGGAAATGTTTCCACGGCTTCGGGTGAGGGCAGTTCATGCGCAGCGTACAAAAAAAGTCCATGAACTCATCGTTGCCCTAGCCCCTCACCTCAGCACACAATTAGTTATCCACGCGAAAAGGCCACACAGCAACCAAAATCGAAGAAGAAAGAGATTAAAAAAAAAAAAAAAAAAAAAAAAAAAAAAAAAAAAAAAAAAACGAATCACGAATCACGAATCACGAATCACGGATCCCCCGTACTGCCATTAAACAACTCCTGGTTAACCCCAACATTCACTTTGTTCTTCTCTGCCCACTCATATATCGCGTCAGTATCATGGCAGCGGGCTTCCACGTCCCAGTAGGCGAAGGAGTGTCGCGCCTTCTCGACGTTGCTCATTGATAGGTACCGCTGCGAGTACTGCTCTTGCCCTCGCTCGTCGGTGTACGTGTAACTCTGGTTCCACCAGTAGACCATTGAGACATCGCCGGCGCAGAGGATGGATTGGCGGAGGAGGTCGAAGCAGTGGTCTGGGGGTTTTGGGTTTTGGGTTGGTGTTCAGTTTCATTTTTGATGTAGGGGTGGGGTGAGTGGCTTTTTTCTTTTTTATGTTTGATATATTCATTGATATTTGATATCGATAACTACTCACTTTTATGGAAATCGATATCATCCTTCGACTCGCCGGGGAAGAATTTATCCGCGTAGAAAGTTCTGCGGATGCGGTTTAGGCAGTGCAGTTGATGGAACATGCCGACGCCATATATGTATTGGCCCGGCTCGACGAAGGATTCTATTGATCGGTCAAGCCGGCTGGCTATCGATTTGGGTAGCTGGACCACGCCGTCCGTTGCTATTTGATCTTGGTTAGTCATGTACTACTTTTTGCTCTCTATTGTTTTATTTTTTTTATTTTTTATTTTTTTTTTTTTTTTCCCCTCCTGCTGCTGCTACTGCTACCACAGGAGAAATGGGACAAAAGAAGAGAAGAGAAAAGGGAAGTCAGGAGAAGGGGAGATTTACATCCCAACGTCTTATTCCATGCTGCTTCTAGTTCGTCAGATGTTTCAGACTGGAATAGCTTCGACGGGGCGAAGCGCTTGTTCACATATCGGACATAACCATCTTCTCTTACGGGAGCTGGTTAAGGGAGTTCAAATGGGACAAGATATCAGCTCGCATGTTCCGAATTGAAAGGGCGACGACAGGAGAAGATAGGTGATGAGAGGGTAGGGTCTGTATTACATACAGTAGGGCAGAGCAGGCAGTTCAGTATCAGGAACGCATTTTTGCCGGATTGTCACTGACGAAACCCCCAACATTGACACCAGGACGACCAGGAGGAATATGTTGAGTGTCGTAAGAGCCTTGGCTGAGGTTTCCCAAGTACATCTCCAGTTTTCCCTCCAGTTTTCTCGTGATATTATCCCCTTCTCTACTTCATGATTATTATCATCATGAAGCAAATGCTCGTTTTCGACCATGTGATAACCATTACTGGTTCCCATGACTGCTTTTGGCTCCTCTATTGCTAGATAAACAGTATCTGAAGAAAGTGCTGTGTATTACTGTGGGAGAATTTCTGCGGCGGGACAGCAGTTTTCGTCTTAATTCTTCTACTTGATTGCCCATTGGCTTTTTTTTCCGTTTTCTCAATTCTACGATTTCTTTATTTGATCTTATGTTGTCCACGCCAGGCTGGACATATAGGTGTCACAATTCCGAATCAGCCGGCGCTTATGTCGCGAATTGTCGGTGACTGGTGTTACTCGCAGATGCAACTTTGGATTACACGGCAACCCGTTTCGGTATTGCCGTGACGTGTCCATTAATGGCATTTCATAGTAGCCGGATAAGATTGCCATGCATTTGGATATGTGATACCATGTTTATGGTTCCCTCCCTTTCAACTTTCGCTCCCTTTCGTTCTCAGCAAAAGGTTGAGAAGTTGAGAAGTGCCATCAACACCATCAAGAACATTGCCATAGCCAATTTTCAACCGGAAATCGCCCTCCGAGCATCGCTTACTGGACCAGCTGACTCATTTTGTCGGCAATTGCACAAGAGATCCTAGACCAGTTGCATATGGAAAAGGGATGCTCGATGAACTGTAATGACCCTCTCTCGTTCATGGATGGTCGATGGTCGTAGGGCGCAGTTGAAGATCTTGTTGAACCCTAGCCATCCGTTTTCCTGCACTGACTATTTAATAATAAACTGTGATACCGCACTGGAAGAGTGCTCTCCTCCGTTAAGTATTTATACCTTAGCTCCTCGAGTATGCCTGTGTAACCAACGAGAAAGCCTCCTAACCCCCTTCGATTCCGTAATATTCCACCCGTTTTGCTATCCCAGCATCACTTCCTCTTGGATTCCTCTATCAAAACAGCTTACCCAGTCTACCTGTCTTTCTCAAAACACACAATGCGGCTATCTCACACCATGAGCACCCTCCTGCTTCTCGCTCACGCCGCAATCGCCTCCGCTCTTCCAATCTCAGCCGAGAACGCCAACGAATTGAACAAGCGAATGGACCAATTCGAGATCCCCTGGCTCAGCGCCCCAAATGAAGCCGGCGCAGAAGAGCCCGCGCAACGCCGTGCTGTGCCGAAAGATGAAGCACCTAATAACATCGACAAACGCCTTCCGAAATTGGGCATGTGGGCCAGCCCCAAGGAAGAGGTTATGTTTATGGATAACAAGGAGCCCGCTTCTGGGGCTTTGGCTGCTAGGCACTAAGCACGATGATTGAATGAATGGGTGAGATGTTCCTTCGGTTTGCTTGCGAGGAGGGGTTGTTTCGGTGGACTGGAAAAGTTATGCATATCATGAAGGAAGCGGACGTGGGGCGGGTGCAAGATTGATCTTTGGACATTTTCGGGCTTGCTGGGTGATGGGAAAGATAGGAGTAACAGCGCATCTGGGTAGGTGGGGAAAGGATTTTACTCTTCGATGGGGGAGCCTAAGAATCTAGCAAAGGAAATTCATAGTTTAATCGTGTTGGTAGGGAGTGAGGACTGGGAGGCAACTTTCTGGTGTTTTTATTTTTTATTTTTTTTATTTTTTTTTATATTTTGTAGGTTAGAACTGGGGGAATGAGATCAAATCTATGGATTGATTCAGTGACACAAAAAGAACAACGTTTTTCTTAATCTAATGACTTGGTATATCCAGCTATATATTTAGAAAGGTTTGGATGTTTGATTCGTTTCTTATACTGAGTTAAATATCTGTTAATTAAGGGCGAGAGCACCTATATATCCTTCAAAAAGTGTCTAGAAATTAGTGGTATCTTAGAAACTAGCTATTCTTCCACAGTGCTTTTCTACCTGCTTTGGCTCCTTTTCTTTCCTAGCAAGGGGCAATCCACGGCTGCTTGCTACTATCATTCTCAATCATATACTTAGAAATAAAAGCTCTGGGCCGAGGGACGAAATGAGTGCCTTGTCTTCCCTCCTGCAGGATGGCGACTGACTTATATACAAGTTCGCCGAGGCACTGCTTGCAAGTGGTAGCATACTTTCGAATCAGAAACATGTAAGGGAACTCACATCGAAATAAATATTCTCAGGGGAAGTTGTCAGGCATGTATGTACGTGTGTATCTACGTCATGAGCAGGTGTCTTGTTCATCGAATATTTCCGGACAACTACTTTCTGATGTCTTACTGTTGTCGTTCCTAGAGGCGAAAAGAATTTTCTGGATGAAGATAGGGGGTTATTAAAGGGAGGGAGAGGATGGACACAGCAGGCGACGTAATTCCAGAGCACAAATGGAGATTACAATCTTCGTGTTATGCCCTGAAAAACGCTGAAAGGGGACATCTATATAAAATAAAATGATATAGTACAACACGAAATTCCGCCTCCTGAGTAACATTGAAGTTGAAAAAAGAAAAGGGGCTGCATGTAGCGTTCACAAAAAATAAGTTCTCCTAGCCCCTTACATAGTAGTTCAGACCTTTTTTTGTATAAAGTTATATTGCATTCCACATTTTCCTCCACATATTTTTCTTTCCTAAACATTTCCTACCAAGAAACCACTGTACCTAGCACCAGACTCTCGGATTTATATTGCTCTTCTCCGCCTTCTCTACCCTTCCCTTTTACGCCGTAAACTTATCGGTAAAGAAGACATATCCAAACATGAAGCTCCTTTACACCTTCGCTGCCACCCTCCTCACGCTCGCTGCCACCACCACGGCTGCTCCACAGCTGCCACTACCACTCGACTCCGTCACCGGCGTCGTTGGCAACCTTCCCGTTGTAGGCAGCGTGGTTGGCGGTGCACTCCCTGTCAAGGGCCGACAAGCTCCGGATGAAGAGCCTGAGGACGAGGACAGCGAGTGAACTCTTATCAAGAACCCTGTAAGTGCAGTTGATTCATTTAGTTTCAGCCGCATAAGGGTTTCCTGCACTTTCACTTGGGATCGGTGAGCTGATATGGTAGAAATAACAGGAGACCCCATGTCCATGACTAGTTCCGTTTGGCCATGGAGAGCGATTTGAAAATGGATAAGACGGGCGTGTCGATCTCAGGATAGTTGGCCCTAGTTCACAAATTTGTCATGTTCACTGGTTGTGTGTCCTATTTCGAACCTAAGGGATGATTGCCGTCGGGGGGAGGCGGGGGGGGAGGGGGGTTTTGAGAAGAGCCTTTTTCATGGTGGGGCTACCGATCATTCCTTGAAGTCTTCCTTTGTGTGAAAAAATGGAGGTCGTATATCTCGTTTTAATTTCGGATTGATGTGATCCTGTCAATGCTACAGACCTTTTACTAGCAATATATTATTAGTGAGATTCAAGCCATTTCTCACTGAAAAATAACATCGGCTAGCAGGAAATAGCCAGGGTAATATATACTCACTCACTCAAATACATGTATGTACATACATTCACTCACCATGTATAAGAGTTCGGAAATGATCGTGGCCTAAGCATTGGGCTGATAGACTCTCTCCTCATCCATATCTATCTAGTCGATAAAGTGTTATGGGGAATGAGTTCATTTGTCGGGCTCAGTCGGACCAAGTAGACCTAGATAATTCCAGATCTGTTTCACCTCGGCACCCTTGCAGCAGTGTATGTATATTATCAGCTCGCTTCTGCTTTTATCCGGCGGTTATCAGTGCAATATAATCAAGATAGTTGGCTTATTTCCCCCTAGCTAGCTGCCGAGACTTATGGGTTGATATCCAATGCAATGCCTCCCTTATTCAGGGGATATTGAGTTCTTCATGCAAGTCTTGAGCTGGCGAGTGCAATTGTAGAGCAGGCCATAGACTTGAAAATAGCTTGCCCAGCAGGGCGTGTCGGCATGGGCATGCATTGGGGAAACCGTGGGTTCAAACCGGATGAATTTAAATCATGGAAACCCTTTTCAGGCGATAGTTAGGGCACGCCGCTCTTGAAAAACAGAGGCTCTCTATGATGTTTCCGCTCACTAGCTCAGGGATCGCTCAGGGGGTTCCCGCTCAGAGTAACAATGGAAAAGAACTATGCAGGGTTTCCGAATAGGCTCAGTAGATGGTGGGAATAGATTTGCGTGGCACAAGTACGACTTCTTCATTTTGATAGAGATATTGTGATCGTTGTCGTTCAGGTACATATATGGCAAGATTGATTGAATCCACAGCTTGCTCAAGCCACTTCGCAAGCTGATATCGGGAGGGGAGGAATTTAGTGCGATAGTTACGTTTAACGTGGAGAATACTAAAATAATGATAGTGCAATCTACAAAAGCGTAAGACAACTAACACCCCTGATATAAACAGTTACATAAATAACCCTCATTTATGTAAATTAGCGTATTGGCACAGAGTCAATTGAAAACGAAAAGAATCTAGTAAAATAGCTGTATAAATATTGGTCCAGAGGCTATTTTTCACAAGAAACACTATGACAGCTTCAACTACAAGAGATGATACAAATTTCAGATAATTCTCAAGGTTCATGGTAGAGGAATCAAAACTTGGGTTAGAAGTGACTAACTCTCTGAATAGTCTATTTACAGTGTTCTAGTAGTAGTTATGTGTTTAGAATTTTTCAATCTTTACCCTCTCTGATAGTTATGATCTTGCAACTTCAGCATTTTAAGACTTTATAGTAACGTTTTCTCTTAATTAACTGCTTTCTGAAAAAAAGCATTATACGGATGATTTCTTTAAGACGAAGTACTAATTATTGACAATCTGAGATCACATTCTCTTGCTATCTTGAGTTTTCATCTCAAGTAGTGTTCAAATAGATCTGAAGCATCATGGTTTAAAAACTAAGTTATCTCATTATAAAGAGCATAGACAGGTGGTTGCATCTCTCCCAATAAAATCCTCTCCAAAACTTCAAGCAGCAGGCATGACAGAAACACTCACTGCACGGGAATCGATATTCTGTGTATTGAGCAGTGGCTAAATTGAATGCTAATATGCATTCCTAACTTTCAACGTCTCAGATACACATATTGAAATAAGGTAACCTTTTCTTCATGTAAATATCATCTATGTCTTGTGCCGTAGTGCACCTTGATATTTTAAGATGCTGAAGTGAAGCTACGGAGGGGCAAAAGGGAGGACTGCAAAGTTTGGAAGAATCGCGATATTTGAACCCTAGCAAGGGAAGCAACGGCTAATGAGGTTTTTAAATAAAACGATACACATGTGTACAATGTAAGTAAGCCCTCGACCCTGCCCAGGTGCCGTAACTCAGTCCCTTTCCTAGACCTTCTGGAGAAACTGGATCCAACTTTCTGTCCCACTGTCCGAATGTGTCGTAGGAGCCAATCCAAAATTCATGGTGCCTGTTGAGATTGACACTTGCGCAAATTGAGTCTGTGACGTTCTCCTTGCCAGATGTCAAGTCTTTTGACTCGGAGGTCGGGATTGAGCAAATGTAGATATTCCTTTCCTGTACCATGGTCAGCTTTACCAATGTTCAATACCCACCGGTCTAGACTCACCTGAAGGAATGTATGTATATACGGATGAGGTTTCGTCAGCGCTCACCTAAATTTATAGGTGTATCGTCCACCTAAGGGCATGCCTAGGGATTAAGCGATGAAGACCCAGCGACCTTAGGCAAGAGATATATATATATATGTACTGTATATCTAAATACCGATGACCTTGTTACCCAAACAGTATATTGCATGGTTGCTTTGACATATTCTGCCCTTTTTAGATGGGTCAATAAGCTGCTTGAGGAACTCCATACACCTCAAAGTGGCACCCCGAGGACTGTGAAGCTGTATCCATATAGCCCACATTTTATCGAGTGTAATAAGGAAAGTAAGATATAGAGGCAGCCCTTGTTCTATGTCGGCGGTTTAACTCTGGTGGTTACTTGGTCTACCCTAATTCCCTAATCGGGCCGGAAAACGCGCTAGGCGCGCCAAATCGCTCTTAAATAATATTTAGTTGGTCCTCACGAACCTCAACCATTTCCTCGTCGCATCCACCCCTATAGCTATGCGTATCTGACCTTCAGAAACTCCTCGCATCGCTTGGGATCTGCCTCTGACAGGCCTGTCTGTTTAGACTGTGCCCCATTTGCTTCCACTATGGACCGGTCTCAACGAGAACAATCCAGTTCTGCTGGCAAATTCCAGAGGAGGATGTCTAACAAACCCTCTGACGAGTTGACCCACTCCTTTAATCGCCTTTCTCTTGCGACAAATTCTGTTGCAGCCGGACCACCCTCATCGCCATCCCCATCTCCATACCAGTCCCCTTCGCGGTCTTTCGACCAGAACAATTCCCACTCTCGCCATGACTCCCCTTCCAGAGCCTTCGCCAACCATCCATCCGTTCCCCGAAGGACCCCTAGTACCAGCTCTCTGAGGGACGAGAGAAGAGTGTCCACTTCTTCACTACAAAAGAGATCATCGGTCAGCTCGCTACGCTCTGTCCAAACCTATAGCGGTAATGGTGTTGCTCCTCAGCGCCCTAGCCTTTCCAGACGCGCTTCGTCGAATTTCCTTTCTACTACATCTCCGAGCATGCGCCCCAGATCCCCCATGCCAGAGCCGCCCGTTCAGCCTGCGGCACCAACAGCCTCTTCGATCGCCCAAGAACATTTTAAAAGGGAGTTGGCTTTGCATCAGTCTACAGACCTGCAGTCCAAAACACTTGTTATCGTGCAAGATGCCTGCTACGGACATAGGTTCTCCCGCCCAAGAACCTCCAAAGCTGGCCTGGAGCAAATTGTCGAGCGTCCAGAGCGCCTACTTGCAAGCGTACTTGGCGTATCGACTGCCTATATTCGCCTAGGGAGACGATATGACGATGGCCAATTTGCTCCACATCCAGACCTTGACATCCGATCATTGCCAGTCCCGCCCTTTCAAATACGGAAGACGACACGCACAATGTCACTTAATTCCCCAGCGGTTACCCATGTTCATGGTGCAAAATGGATGGATGAACTACAGATTATGTGCGAAGCTGCAGAATCCCGTCTCGCTTTGAATGGAAAGGAGCTGGTCCGGCCTAGCAGTTCGGGGCGGGATAGTAGTTCCGCAAGCCGACCAAAGTTACATGAGGGCGACTTGTATTTGTGTTCAGAATCCTTAAATGCGTTTGAGGGTGCGTTGGGGGGAGTGTGCGAAGCTGTGGATGCCGTGTTTGGACCCTCTTCTACTACACGGGCGTTTGTGAGCATTCGCCCCCCTGGCCATCATTGCTCAGCGGACTATCCATCTGGGTTTTGCTGGCTTAACAACGTTCATGTTGGTATTACACATGCTGCAATGTCACATGGCCTCACACATGCCGCTATTATCGATTTCGATTTACACCACGGAGACGGATCGCAGGAAATTGCTTGGGAACAAAATCGAAAGGCAAAAGGGGCCTCCAAGAATGCACCACCTCATAAGAAAACGGCAATCGGTTATTTCAGTCTCCACGATATCAACTCCTATCCTTGTGAGGCTGGTGATGTAGACAAGGTTCGCAATGCTAGCGTTTGCATCGACAATGCTCATGGCCAGTCAATCTGGAATGTTCATCTTGAACCTTGGAAAACGTCCGCTGGCTTTTGGGAACTGTACAATACGAAGTACTCTATTCTTCTTGAAAAAACTCGAAAGTTTCTACGATCCCATACACAGCGTTTGCTAAACTCTCAAAATCCGCCACCTCCCAAAGCAGCAATTTTTATATCTGCCGGTTTTGACGCTAGTGAGTGGGAAGGCGTTGGCATGCAGAGACACAAAGTCAACGTTCCCACGGATTTCTATGCCAAGTTTACAGCAGACATTGTACGAATTGCAGAAGAGGAAGGTCTGGGCGTTGATGGCAGAATTATAAGCGTTTTAGAAGGAGGTTACTCTGACAGAGCTCTTATAAGTGGTGTGCTCAGTCACTTGTCAGGGCTTGCGGATAGCCAGAAAAATACTTCTGAAAATGGAGATAATCGCCTTGCAACTGAGATGCTGAGTCGCCTTGGTTTGAACGACCGTCCTGAGACTGTCTTAGAAGAGGACTCAACCTTTGATACCGAATGGTGGAAACTTCCACTGCTAGAAGAACTAGAACTTCTTGCAAACCCACCACCTCCAACTCCAGCTCGCAAGCCTCGTGAGAAGGGACCTCCCACGTATTGTTCTCCCACGCAGGCGTCAGTCGCTAAGATCGTCATGCCTTCCCGTGACCGGAGATCGATTTCATCGCAGCTAAGCGCCGGAGATGGAGGATATGCCCGTCCCCCACTCCCGGTCATTGACTGGGCAACGGCCGCATATGAATTATCGAAAGTTCTTATCCCTACAGACCGCCAAACCATTAGTTATCAGCACTCGGAATTGAAGGCTGAAAATACTCGGATCCGACGTGACGGCCATTCAACTTCGAATGTTTCCGAGTTGATTGCGGTTGATGATCGGAGACCAATGCAGTTAAGGGAGAGAAAACCAAAGTCACCAACACCTGAGCTCCAAACCCCCAAGCGACCATCTAGAACTTCGCGACGGACCACCATAGCCTCAGTGAGCGACCTTCCCGATGCCTCTATCATCGAATCTTCTGGGAGTAGTAACCAAAATTCCAAAGCTACTGATGCACATAGCTCACG